AGAAATGAAATGAGCTTCATTACTGTCCTAATAAAAATATAATTCGATCAGTGCCCAAAGAAAACCCCCAAAGAAACATAAATCTTAAAACAATTCCAGATAATTTTAGATGGCTTATTCTCTTGCATTACCCAGGCTATAGTTTTTTCCTCTCTCTATCATGAGAAACTGAGAATTGATTAATTTTTATTCCAAATGTGGTGACAGGTTTGGAGATTTTCAATAATATGAATGTGAGTAGGTTAGGTTAATGCTTTAGATTAGTTTTTGGTCATTGACACACAACCCATCCAGAATGGCCAACTATATTTCACATTTTGATTGTACATTTTGCTTTGAAAATAATATTTTAGCACTACATTTGAGGACACTTAGCACAATTGCCACATGGTTAAAGTTAACCTTTGGAATTTTGCCTAAGAATTGATCTCTCCAGGCTTAGGTCTACAGACATCATTTTATTTTTTATTATTTATGAAGTGCTATGAATGTGTACAATCCTGTGCGATGAGCAGAATGTGCCAAAAGAGAGAGCTTGAGCTCTAGGAAGAGAGAAAAGTCAAGAGTGTTTCTCAGAGGAATTTACTGTTCAGAATTTACTTGAGCTGCTCTTATTACTTAAACACACAGCTGCTGATTCAACTCTTGGCTAACACCTCTGATATGTATGCTCCTATATTATTTGAAAAATGGTTTAATTCAGAGATGAAGTTTGTTTGACTGTAATTTGTATTTAGTAAAAGTAAAATGATAGTGGCAAGAGGAACTTTAGAAAATAATTATTTGCTCTTTCATCCGACATGGCTATTTTTGAATGTTGTACAGGAAAGTTGTTGGTCTTTAAGACTTCATTCCAAACGTAATTATTATTACAGGAGACCAAAGATTATATAAATATATCTAGGGTCTTGTGCCATGTTTTGCATGATTATTAAATTCTACATCCTATGGTGATGTGAAGATTTGGAATGTATAGATAATCTCCAGACTGTGTGAGAGAGGCATTACAGCCATGTGTTTGTGTTGTATTTCAATTTCTAGATTCATGGTGCTTATTGGTTGAATATTTGAGCAGACACAGACATTTTTCGTGGCTGCTGATACCACAGTCTGCCACCTTTTTTACCTTATTGGAATATAGTCCTGTGCTTTTCAAGTGAACTTCCAGTAGTACTGTCCAAACCTTAGTTTTTAAGCCATCAGTCCTTTATCAGAGCAGTTATTTGAGTGATTGTTATGGCTCCTTTGGCTGAAGTGCTGGTAGGATGCTTCCTGGCAGAAAGGTGGAAAGCCAACAACCTGAATTTGTATCAGAAAATTCCGATTTTTCTCTAGAGATTCTGATTCCTTAGGTCTGGGATGGGACTGGGAAGCCATATATTAAAGTTCCTTGGTTGTTCTTATGGCTAAGCTGAGTTTGGGAAACAAAAAATCTCACCATATGATGTGGAGATATCATAATTTAGTCACTAAGAGACCATGTTTTCAGAATGCAATGGACGATGACTACTATTGAAAAACAGGCAAAGTCCTTCAATAGTCGCTTCTAGGTGATCTCCATCTTGGTTTTCAAAGATGAATTCATTAACTTTATGAATTCATTAATTTTAAGTTTCTGTCATCTTCGTAATCAATGTGGCTAAGTTTAGAGTGATCACAGGCTCATTGATCTGTGCCTGTGTGGAATATAATTTTGGGTAACAAATAATCTGGTTTTTGTCCCCTCTTTTACTCCTCTTCTTCCTTCATCATCTTTATCACCTTTCTTTTTTTCCCTCCTTCCCTTTCACTCCTCTTCCATTACCTTTAACTGTATAGAATATAGTGAAAAATCTGTAATAGCAACATTTTCATTTAGTGAGCAGGGCATTTTGGAGAAGTGCATGTTTTTTGGTATAAACTCAGGGGCTATAGAATTAAAAAAACATCCTGAGTATTTGAAATTATTGGAAGTTGACTCCTCATTAGAGCCAGAAGGAACTAAGAATTTATGATTCCATATAATGGATGTTTAAATAGGCAACTTTAGGACTGACTTAATGGGAGTTAAGATTAAGAAAAGTAAAACAATACTTAGTATTTCTTCTGTATAACATACATTTATTTTGAGTGGAAGTAAATAAAACTCTAATTCCTGGTATCAGAATACTAGCACATTCTGCTTTACATAGAAAAATCTGAGGTTTGTGCCTGAGACTAGTATTTAAGAATTAAAGTGTTTAATTTAGGAAAACCTTACTACTCTAGAATAACTTCAGGCCCTCATTAAAATTTTGAATATGCTATTGTGAATCATAGCTTATTTTAAAATAAGAACAGCTTCATTAAAGTACAGATAGCATTTTGAATACGTTTGACTGTGTCCAAATAAAATAAGACCTGCCTTAAATAGACAAAGCGATTTGGTATGATTGTGCTGTGTGCTCCACGATGCTGTATGAGTTTGTTCTCCTAAATAAGGTGGACAGTCTTCTTTTTGCTCTTAATTTGCTCATCAATATTTTTCTTTTTAGACTAGCAGAGGTAAGTGTAGATGAAAATTATTTAAAGTTTTTATGCCAAATTTCAAATAAATGAGATCAGCATTAATGAAGCTTTATTGTCTTTTGTTCTGGGAGGGAGTTGTCTTGCAGAGTTTAACTAAGTGATAGAAACTATTCTCTGCAAATGTTTCTTCTTTGACAATTTAGGATGCCCTAG